ACAATTCGCTTAGTGGCCGTTCAAAGTTACAACAGCACTGAAAAAAGTGACTTATGACCACTTCTCATACTTATAACCATTGAGGCATCCCTCATGATTTATATTCGGATGCTTGACAGCTGGTTCACATTTATGACGGACACGATTCCTTTTTTGCAACCTTCTGACAAGCAAAGTCATGGGAAAGCCAGATTCACTTAACAACCGGGTGACTAATTCAACAACTGCAGCGATTTCCTTAACAAATGTGGCCCGAAAAGTCATAAAATTGCGGGCAAAACTCACTTAGCAACATAAATTTGAGGCTCAATTGTGGTCGTAAGTCGAGGACTACCTGTATAAGAAATCACATATTGACTACAGTTAATCCTTGACTTACAACAGTGGCTGTTGAAAGTTGTATTCTTCAACATTTTCATAAACAATTTAGATGAAGGGATAGTGTCAGGATTCCGGCAATCGCCCTAATTAAATCATGATTCTTGAGCCAAACTTCAAAAAACTTCAAAGAATTTATTAGAGGCGACATACTGACATTGCCTTGTATGAAGCCAACTCTGGTATACGTAATTTACAGTCCCCTTTGACCCTGTTTTCCCTGCCTCCTCCTAGCTGTCTCATAAACCAGATTCTCCAATTGAGCACGTGCACAGGCTGGATGTCCTCATTCACGTTCTCCAATTAAATATATTCGCAGTGTCAGGGTTCTGGCGGTTATTCCAGTTAAATCATGAGCCTCGAGCCACACTCCCAAAACTAAAGAGGATTTATTTGAAGCTACCATTCTACGTCTGGCACTAATCTGGGCATAACCAACTCTGAAATACGTAATTCACTGTCACTCTTGACTCTGCTTTTCCCCCACCCCCACCCCTCTGGGTGTATCATCCAATGAAAAACGTCCATAGCCAAGAGTCATCAATCATGCTCTCCAATTAGATTTTTTTTTTTTTTTGTGGCAGAAGCTTCAGTCATCTAATCAGTCTTTGAAGAAAATATGAATGGAATGTACTTTCGGTTCCACACTGCCGCCTGCTCATTGAAACTCCCCCCACCGTTTCCTTCTTTCTGTTGTCAGCTATAAAACGTGTATGCAAAATGTTTTATGGATTGACACGTGGGCAAAAGCTCTGGTAGTTTAGTTAGAATCTTTGAAAGATAAAGAGTTGGAATGTACTTTCGCTTCCAAACTGCTGCACTGCTCTTCCAGATTTCCTCCCCCCCCCCTTTTTAATGGCAAGTACTAAAACAGGCCTAGGAATGTTTTATGAGGGGAAATGCATCAAATTTGCAGACCTGACATCACGCAAGATGATAGGCTCAAGATCCAGAAGGATCTGAATCCTCCAACTCTAAGCTGGCCTTCTCTAAACCTATAACAACACACACGTAGTCCTCAACTTACAGCAGTTCATTTAATGTTCAAAGTCACAACGGCACTGAAAAAAAGGGATTTATGGTCCTCTTTCACACTTAACCAACCGTTGCGGTTATCCCCCACGGTCACATCATCAAAATTTCAGACACTTTGGCCACTGGTTCATATTTATGACGGTTGCAGTATTCCGGGGTCACGTGATCAGCTTTTGCGACCTTCTGAGAAGCAGAGTCAACGGGGAAGCCAGATTCGCTTAGCGACCGAGTTACTAACTTGACCATTGCAAGGATTCACTTGCCAACGGTGGCCAGAAAAGTGGTAAAATGGGGCAAAACTCGCTTAACAAACGTCTCGCTTGGCGACATCAATTTGGGGCTCCGTTGTCATAAGTCGAGGACTACCTGTACTGTTGCAGCAGTCACGTAATCATAATTTAGGCATTTGGCAACGGGCATCGTACATTTACAGCGGATCTGGGATCATATAATCGCCATTTGCGACCTTCCCAGCTGGTTTCTGACCAGGAAAATCAATGGGGGAAGCCAGAATCAGAATAACAAGAGTTGGAAGGGACCTTTGGAGGCAGGAAACCCTATACCATTTCACACAAATGGTTGTCCAATCTCTTCTTAAAAACTTCCAGTGTTGGAGCATTTACAGCTTCTGGAGGAGGCAAGTTATTCCACTGATCAATTGTTCTAACTATCTGGAAATTTCTCCTCAGTTCTAGGTTGCTTCTCTCCTTGGTTAGTTTCTGTCCTGCCCTCAGGTGCTTTGGGGAATAGCTTGACTCCCTCTTCTTTGTGGCAGCCCCTGAGATACTGGAACACTGCTATCCTGCCACCCCTAGTCTTTATTTTCATTAAACTTAAGACATACCCAATTCCCGCAATCGTTCTTCCTATGTTTTATCCTCCGTCCCCTAATCGTCTTTAGTGCTCTTCTCTGCACTCTGCAGCAAAAACAGGCCACTGTCTTACTTAGCAGTGGAAAATTTGAGCTCAGTTTTGGTTTTAAGTCGAATCGTAATCTTTTAAGTCTTAAGCGTGCAATACTCCTTTCTCCTTCTTATGTGAATTAAGGACCCGTCTCTCTGAGCTTCTTCTGCATATATATTCTGGTTGTTTTGGATTTAAAGTATGTTTTTTCCCTGACTGCCTCTCTTCTCAAAGTAATCTTTACTCTGTACAGGTTCTCTGATTTTCATATACGGCTAGTCCTCAACTTAGGATCCTTTCTCCCCAAGGTGCTTTTTCAAGAGCAACTGGACTTATTTGTTTTTCTTTGAAGACATTTCGCTTCTCATCCAAGAAGGTTCCTCAGCTCTGACTGGATGGCGGGGAAGGGAAGGATTTATATTCCTTGTAGAGAGCTGGTCATTTGCGTTCTTTTTAGAGAGTCGTTGAGGCCGCTTGGAGGTTTATCTGGGTCCTAAAGTCACCGTGGGGGAGGGATAGCACATCAACCATCTCCAGTCTACAACGTAGTCCTTTCGGCCGTTCCAAGGAGGCTCCACACCCATTTGCGCCACTCAGGAGACCCTGGGGACACAGATAAACCTCCAAGTGGCCTCAGCAACTCTCTAAAAAGAATCCAAATGACCAGCTGTCTGTAAAGGAATATAAATTCCTTCCCTTCCCCACCATCCAGTCAGAGCTGAAGAAGCTTCTTGGATGAGAAGCAAAACATCTTCAAAGAAAAATAAAGTCCAGTTGCCTCTTTGGGATAACCATGACCTGGATGACTGAGAGTCTGCATAGACCATTTGTTTTTGTTTTTTTGACAGCCTGAAGTTACGAAGGCTTCAGAAAGGGTGTTTGATGGCCTGTAAAAGCACTTATGACTATCGCACACTGTTGCACGATCCCCTGTGGTCAGCTGGTCAGTTGAGTGTGATTTGGTGGCTTGGCAACGGGCTTGCCTTTATGACCGGTTGCAGCATTCTAAGATCACATTATCATGATTTGGGATGTTTTTTTGCTAGTTTGGTTTCTGGAAAAAAAACATCCCTTCAGCAAAATGGATTCACTTTAGGATTCATCATAAAACTGGTCATAAATTTGAGTCCGGACATGTGGTAATTCAACTGATGACGGCAATGACTTAACAATGGAAACTCTGGTCCCTATTGTAGTTTTAAGTTAACAGATGAAACTCCCACAACTTCTGAAAGCAACTTCTATTCCATTGGTTGATTGTTCTCAGTGTCAGAAAGTTTCTCCTTCTTTCCAGGTTAAATATTTCCAGGTTTAGTTTAGTTTATTTATTTCTTAGATTTGTTGGCCGCCCGTCTTAACCACAGGGCAACTCTGGGTGGCTTTTAGTGTTCAAAAAATAAAGCCACACAAAATCTATACGCAATACCAATAAAACACCCTATAAAATTACAAATACTCAATCCCAACCAAATGATGGGGAGGAAGGCAGTTAGGGTCAGCATTGCAGGGGGAGTGGGATCTATTATTAATCTGTTATAATGGTACCTCGCTCTTTGACGGCTTCAAAACTTGTCAAATTTGCTACTCCAGTGGTCCCCAACCTTTTTTATGCCGCGGCCCGGTACCGGCATCAGCTGGGCGCCGCCATCTTGTTTTGATGAAAAAGTGCTTCTGGTGAGCTCACCGGAAGCACTTTTTCATCAAAACAAGATGGCGGCGCCCAGCAAACCAGCGGCCCGGTAGGATTTGTTCCACAGACCGGTACCGGTCCGCGGACCGGTGGTTGGGGACCCCTGTGCTACTCGACATATTTTGATGCAAAAGTGTTGTCCCGATACTCGTAGTTTCTTTGGTATTCGGGACACTACAAAAGGAAGAGGTGGGGTGGCAGACAGGATATTGGCCATCCTGGGAGGGCCACTGCAAAAGGAAAGGGGGACAGATGCAAAGGATGGACAGGACGTTGCCCATGCTGGGAAAGTCATTGACATAGCAAAAATGACAGATTATTATTTTTTTCCAGCCAAAACAGAGTCCCCTGCTTTGTTTGGCACTTGTAATTTTCGATGCTGGTTGTGCCTCCCACAACCAATGAACATCGAGTAACCAAGGTACCAGGGACGCGGTGGCTCAGTAGCTAAAACGCCGAGCTTGTTGATCAGAAAGGTCGGCAGTTCGGCGGTTCGAATCCCTAGCACCGCATAAAATGCAGTGAGCTCCCGTTCCTTGTCCCAGCTTATGCCAACCTAGCAGTTCGAAAGCACGTAAAAAATGCAAGTAGAAAAACAGGGACCCCTTTGGTGGGAAGGTAACAGCGTTCTGTGCGCCTTCGGCGTTTAGTCATGCCGGCCACATGACCACGGAGACGTCTTTGGACAGCGCTGGCACTTTGGCTTTGTTACGGAGATGAGCACTGGCGCCCCCTAGAGCCGGAAACGACTAGCACTTATGTCTGAGGGAAACCTTTACCTTTATCAAGATACCAATGGGGAGGCCGGATTCATTTAATAACGGGGTTACTGACTTAACAGCAATTATTCCCTTAACAACTGTGGCAAGAAATGTCATAAAATGGGTCAAAATTCATGTAACAGTTCTCGCTTAGCAGCAGAAGTCTGGGGCCCAATTGTGATTGTAAGTTGAGGACGACCTGTATTCATTCAGTTGAGGACTAGCTATATTTTCTCTTCTTTCCTTCTCTGTTCACTTTCAATTTCTTCCCTGTTCTCTCAGATCACTTCGCCGCAGCCGAGATCAAGAAAGAAACACTCCAGCTGGGCGGCCCTGAACCGGAAGGAGACCACCAAATAGAAAGTTCCTGTGGGGAAGGATTTGTGAAGCCCTTTCGCCACAAAGAAGACGCCGATTTAGAAAACACTGAGGGGACAACGCTGCACAGGAGGCGGCTTTGGGAAAAGGGCCAGACCCTTAACCAGCATCGAACCCACATAAGTGAGCAAAAACAGTCAAGTCCCGAATGCAGTGAACAGTTCCACTCTCGGCCGCCGTTGGTAAAGCGCCGGACGATCCACTTTGATGTCGAACCGACAGAGCGGCAGGATGTCCCCAGCTGCGAGAAAAGCTTCTTTGCACATCGAGCTATCGACCTGGAGAGGGAGAGGCCAGGTGCAGCCGCCATGGGCGGGAGACGCTTCCGCGAGTGGATTCAGCCAAGCCAGCACCGCGTGAGGCAAGGCGGAGGAGACCAGGCTTACCAGTGCTCTTTATGTCGGAAGGAATTCCGGAGGAAACGAAACCTCGTGGCGCACCAGAAGATCCACACGGGGGAAAGGCCCTACGCGTGTTCGCAGTGTGGGAAAAGCTTCAGCGAGAAAGCCAAGCTGATTCGACACGAAAGGGTCCACACCGGGGAGAAGCCGTACGCCTGTCCTGCTTGCCCGAAAAGTTTCAGTCAGAGAGAGACATTGTTGAAGCACCGAAGGCTCCATGCAAGAGAGAAATCTTATCCGGGTTTAATCAGTTGGGGAAGATTTTGGACAGCGAGAGACGCAGTGGAAGGATCACTGAATTCACCCAGGGAGAAACTTCAGTAGTGTTTTGTGAAGCTTGGAAGCGAATGCAGGGGGAGAGTGGAGTGTCCCCGGCTTACGACTACAATCGAGCCACCCCCTCCCCCCCAAAATTATCCGTTGCTAATTAAGACAGTTAAATGAGTTTCACCCCGTTTTATAACTTTTTTCTTCTTCTTTTTCTTCTTGCAGTCGTCTAAGGGTTAAGCTGCCCGGTTCTTTCGTTGCAAGATGGGTGGCAAATAAATTTAATCAATAAAAAAAAATCACAACTGCCGTGATTCGCTTGTTTATTTTTAACTTGGTTAACGCTTAGTTAAGCTAGCTGAGTGAATCTGGCTTCCCCTGCTCATGGAGTTTGCTAGTCAGAAGGTTACAAAAGGGGATTACGGGACACGGCAACGGTCATAAATCTGAGTCAGTTGCCAAGCAGTTGCATTTGGATCACGTGACCTTGGGGATGCTGCAAGTGTGAAAAACGGGCGTAGGTCCCTTTTTCCAGTGTCGTCATATATCTTTGAATGGTCGCTAAACAAAAGGTTGCAATTTGAGGATTCTCTGTAGTTCCAGCTGGGAAACCTTGACCTCTGATTGTTCAGCTAAGACGCAGCATGGCCTTCTCCAATTCGAAGAAACGCTCCGTCATGCTCTTGTTGGAGTCTGATTTTGAGGGGGAGATTGAGCAGCTGACAGGGAGTGGGAGTGTGGCTCCGGTGGCTGTGGAAGAAATGGGGGAAGGGCACAGTCCGGCTGGCCATTCAGAGGAAGACCCAGGGCCATCCCCTCTTCATCCTAGGGCATGCAGGGAGGAACCGAGAAGGGACCAACTTGTCTTATGGGAGAGGAAAGGGCCCTGATCCCCTTCATGGGTTGCAGCTGGGAGAACAGGATATAAGTGGGGTGTTTGTACACAGCTCCTTGCTGGAAGCGAAGCATGCATTATCTTTGTCGTCCTCCCAACTGCCGGTGCTACCTTATTCTTTGAAAGTCTGCAATATATCATCCTAGCCTGCCGAGTTAATTACTTCAGTGTGGTTTGTGTTGAGTTTTTTTTAAATTTCTAATTTATCTTTACTTTGGGTTTGGACTGTATTTCTGCCCTTCGTAGACTGATTTTTCAAAAGTTTGATATCCTGCCGAGGATAATTGGGCATTGGGGCCAAGTTGGAGGAGTTAAAGGGAATTTATTCTACTTTTATGACTTCGTTATTTTTGTGTCACGCCCCGGGCCATCACACACTCGTTTGGCAGGCTGAGGCAAAGAGGCAGCCCCAGAACCAGCGAAAACCAGGGGCTGGACAGGGGACAGACTGTATCTGACCTCAGCGTGGAAGGGATTGCCACTCTCAAATTGGCCTTTTTAGCCACACTAGATGCTCTTTTAGGACCTCTTTTCAGAGCACAATACCATAGTCTCTTGAGACTGAAGGATGCCAATATATGTCTGTAGTTCCCATATTCTCCCCTCCCCTGGAAAAAAATCCTTACCCTGGTGCTGAGGAAAAGATTTCAATAATAAATAGCCATTCTCTAACTTTCTGCAAAGGGAGTCCTCGAATTATGGCCATTTGTTTAGCAATAAGTTACAAATGGCACTGAACAAAGGGATGCACGATTGATTGGTTTGAAATGGTATATGGCAAGGGGTCTTCAAACTCGGCAAGTTTAAGACTTGGGGACTTCAACTCGCAGAATTCCTGAGCTGACATGGCTGGAGGAGGAATTCTGGGAGTTGAAGACCCCTGGTATAGGGCCTCCTGCTTGAGCAGGGGTTCGACAAGAAGACCTCCAAGGTCCCTTCCAACTCTGCTCTGATTCTGATTCAAAGAGTATGAGAATAAGCCAAAATAATAATAATAATAATCAAAGGCAAGAGGAAAACAAGGAGATATAGTCGACTCCAGCACCCTTCGCTTGCTTTCTCCTCTTTCTGTCTTTCAGTCCTTCCATACGTGTCCTGTTCTCAGCACATCCATCCATGTTGCCTTTTATGCTTTTAAGCATCTCTGTTCTGACCTAGGCTTCCCCAAAAAGCTCTAAACAGACTCTTTGTCCCAGCAAAATTCCTCTTTATTAAACGAAGGTGAATTTCTTGCATTCACATTCCAGCCAAAAGCCTGGCAAACGGTCTTTCAAGGGTGTAATTATAGGAGCACAGACCTTATCTAGCTTGGAGAGCGGCCAGGTAAATATTTCCAAACACAGTGCAAACAAGGAAGGACTCGGCACAGAATCTCTTGAGAGGCACGGACACTTCACACTGCTGCAACGGACAAATTGTTTCCTGCCCCCTTCCCTTTTCCTCCTCTTTTAATCCCTACGTGAGGGGCCATTCACCGTCCACCTGTGGCTTTAACTCCCACGTCGACCCTTAGTTTGTAATTGTTCTTTTTCTTTTGGCAGCTCTGCGCATGCGCAGGCTGGAAACCAGGGGTAGGATTCTACCAGTTCCGTCCGGCTCTGTAAAACCGGTAGCTCTGAAGAGCAGCAGACATAGAACCGGTTCTATATCTGCTGCTGATTTGGCCCACCCCCCCCCCCGGGCCCTTACCTGACCTTTTTTAACCTCAGCCGCTGTTCGAGGCACAGCTGCGGTTGAAAAAAAAAAACAGGAAAAAAGTGCTTTTTCAAACGCTGCTTCCCTGCATGCAGCGCTGCTCAGCTGTCCAGGCAGCAAGCTGACGAAGATTTACCCACGAGCGCAGCGTGCAGGGAAGCACATCATAAATCACCGAACGGTAGTTAAACCTGTCGGATCCCACCCCTGCTGGAAACCGGCTCCAACTGCTCCCCCACCTCACTGCTGTCCGACTCCAAAGGCAGCTGATGACTGCCGGACTGCCCTGGCCCCACCTCTGCCTCTGATGCAGAGCCCTCGTCTGAGCCTTCCTCGGCCTCCAGGACTAGCTCATGTTCCTCCCCAACCTCCTCACTGTCCGACTCGGCTGCCGGTTCCGCTAGCCGCCGAGGGCGCCACAACAATCTCCACTCTTTATCAAGCTCTCATCCTCTCCATCCAACCATGAATTTCTCTGCCATAGAACAGAATAGAATAGAATTCTTTATTGGCCAAGTGTGATTGGACACACAAGGAATTTGTCTTGGTGCAAATGCTCTCAGTGTACATAAAAAGAAAAGATACATTTCTTAAGAATCAAGAATCATAACGTACAACACTTCATGATAGTCACAGGGTACAATCAGCAATCAAATCATACTAGGAAACAGTCAATATAGATTGTAAGGATACAAGCGACAAAGTTACAGTCCTACAATCACAAGTGGGAGCGGATGGGTGGTAAGGAGCGATGAGAAGATTAACAGTAATAGTAGTGTACACTTTGTAAATAGTTGAACAGTGTTGAGGGAATTATTTGTTTAGCAGAGTGATGGTATTTGGGGGAAAAAAACTGTTCTTGTGTCTAGTTGTTCTGGTGTTCTTATCTATCATCCTGCTTATTACCATGGATACTATTTTGGCTTTCCTTTGTCACCGTCATTCTACTTCTATTTGTGGGTCTTTGCATTTTGCGATTCTCCCCCTCCCCCCCCCAGTTCTTCCCCTTCTATTCTGCTGTCTCCAGATACCACCATGCCGCTATCCAGACCTCTTTGTGGTTGTTATCAACAGTTGTTAAGCCTGGGGTGTTAGGTGGCAGGTGTTTCTCTGTATTAATTCTGAAACCATCCCAGAGCTGCTTCATTTCCTGTTTCTTTATTTGGTGGTCCCACCCGTTCTTGCTTGCAGGCCAATGCGCCATTGTTGTTACTTTGCCATGTTGTGGTTTGTGGTCAATTCTGTGCAATTTTCTTGCAGCACCTAGCTAGTTGGTCCACTGTTTGTTTGTTTTTTTCTTTCAGCTCCTTTGCAGAGGTGGCATTTCTATTAGTTGCCATCTTCTCAATTCTGGTCTTGTTCTGAAGGCTTGAATTAGTCCCTCTGTCTCTTTCCTTAACTTTCTTGCTCTTGGCCATTGCTAAGCTATAACTTGCTTTATCCATTTTATTTTATTTTTAAATGCACTTCGTCTTCTCATGCCTCCTTTCGGTTCTTCATTTGGTCTTTCTTGCAGGCTAGTTTGGTCTCTGCAGTACTTAATAAGCCTTCGTGGTATACCAGCTTCAGTGCATCTTCTTCACTGTTAACCAATCAATCAGAATAGAGCTGGAAGGGACCTTAGAGGTCTTCTAGTCCAGCCCAAGCAGGAGGCCCTATACCATTTCAGACAAGTGGCTGTCCAGTCTCTTCTTAAAAACCTCCAGTGTTGGAGCACCCACAACTTCTGAAGGCAAAGCTGTTCCACTGGTTAAATTGTCCTCACTGTTTGGAAGTTTCTCCTCAATTCCAGGTTGCTTCTCTCCTTGATTAGTTTCCATCCATCGTGGGTTTTTTTTGTCCTGCTTTCTATGGCTTTAGAGAATAAATTGACCTCCCCTCTTCTTTTTGGGAGCCCCTCAAATACTAAAATACTCTTATCGTGTCATCCCCCAGTCCTTCTTTTCTCTAGACTTGGCCAGACCCAATTCCTGCAACTGTTCTTCATACGTTTTAGTCTCCAGGCCTTCCTTTAATTATCCTAGTTGCTCTTCTTTGCACTTTTCCCAAAGTCTCAACCTCCATTTTGTACATCTGTCCTTCAGATATTCTTCCAATTTCCTTTTCCCCCCTTTGTTGGTGAACTTGTAACATTCCACAACCACCTATTTCTCTTGGTAAGTAGAGTTGGTCAACATGTATTCCAGCTATTTATCTAATGAGTGGAATTGTCCAGGTTTTAATTGTTTCATTATCATCAGGCTGCAATCTTACACGGCTTACCTAGGAGTAAATTGCACTAAAACTGGTGGCCCTTACTTTACTTTTCATAGCTTGCCTCAGCTGTTCTTGAAAAAGCTATATATCATCAACCCTAGCGAGAATAGGTCGTCACCTCCTTAGAGCAGGGGCCTTCAAACGTGACAGCTTTTAAGATTTGTGGACTTCAACTCCCAGAATTCCTCCTCCAGTCATGTTAGCTCAGGAATTCTGGGAGTTGAAGTCCACAAGTCTTAAAATTGCCAAGCTTGAAGACCCTTGTCCTAGAGCTACTCTGTAGGGTAGGCTGTTGGGAAGTCAAAGGGAAAGTCAGTGGCAGATCGCTTGTGTACTGGACGTTGTTAGTACTGGGATGGAAGACCACCAGGAGATCCTGTACAAAATAGTGTCTTGGTAATATTATGTAAGAAAAGCAACCTTTTGTGGCACTTTCTAGACCAGGGGTAGGGAAACTTGGCTCTTTTATCACTTATGGACTTCAACTCCCAGAATTCCTGAGTGAGCCATAAAAGGTTCCCCATCCCTGGCCTACTGGTTTTTCAGTTGTGGGGGATATCAATTTTTGACTGGAATGGGACTGTTTAATATACAAATGTAGGACATATATCACTCAGGAATTCTGGGAGTTGAAGTCTGTAAGTGATAAAAGAGCCAAGTTTCCCTACCCCTGTTCAAGACAAATGCACTTACACTATATGTATATAACAACTGACTGTATCCTAGAATGAATTGGGCAGCTTACAATGTAACGTACAGTATAATAAAATACAGTAAGTTGATGTTGAAAGTTTCCTATTTCACTAAGGAAGCCAAAGAGCTCACTTTCAGGTGTTGGGGTGACCATATATATCTGTTGAACCTCTGCCTGCTCCATAGACCTAGCAGAGACAGGGCCCAACATTGCAAGGAAGTGTGTGTGTGGGGGGGGGTATTTGCAAGGAAGTGTGTTTTTTTTTTGTTAACCCTTCCTCACCCGCCTCTCTCCTGACCCACTTCTACTGACCGACAAAGGGTGTCGTGTTCCCCCCCCCCCCCCGGGGGGAATGGGAGACCGAATGTTGGAACTCCGTGCTGGGGTGAGAAAGCAGCCATGCTTCTTCCGAAGGTAGTCCTCGATCCCAATTGTGGTTGTAAGTTGTGGATTATCTACAGAAGAGAGTACAGGGTAGTAACGACCACAACTGAGGCCAACATTTCTGTGGCTAAGTGCAACATTTCTTAAGCGAGTTTTTGCCCCCCACTTCACGACTTTTCTAGCCACCGTTGCTAAACGAATCGTTGCATTTGTTAAATTAGTCACATCGTTGTTAAGTGAATCTGGCTTCCCCACTGACTTTGCTTGTCAGAAGGTCCCGGGGGAAACTGAAACCGTCATAAATACGAACCGCTTGACTTTTGAGATCATGTGATCACGAGGATTCCCGCCACGATCGTTAAGTGTGGGGGAAAAAGCGGTCCCAAAAGGCACTTTTTTATCAGTGCCCTTGTCACTTCCAAACGGTCACTAAACGAATTGCTTGCAAGTGGAGGACTCCCTTGTCCTGGCATCCCTGCCAACGGTGTGGGCACGCTGCAAAGTCCTTTACCTGGAGTGGGGGGGGGGGGGGGAGCTAACCTCGCGGCAAAGTTTGAACGGCGCGCGATCTTAATTCGGCCGTCGATCCGGGCTCCGCTCCCCTTCGCGGCATCGGCGCCCGGATCGCCAAGCGAAGAAAACGCGACTTCTTTGCTTTGCGAGCCAAGCCCGGCATCTCTGCGGCAGCCGCTCGCGGCGGGCCATTGTCAGCCGCGAGCCCCTTTCGCGCACGCGAGGGACCCTGGGAAACGCAGTCCGCGAAGGGCCCGAAAGACCGACCGCCCGAGGAGCCCTCTCGGCGGAGGCGAACTACAACTCCCAGAGTTCTCCGGGAGATGGGGGGGAAGCCAATGAAGCGTCCGACTCGGTCTCAAGTTTGCAATGTAGACGTTCCCCCCCCCCCGAAGGCCCCCCCCCCCAAGGAATGGCGAGGGCCGGGCCGAGGAGCTGCCTCGAGGGGCGACCTTTCCCCTCGCTTTCTCTCCCGGGTTCGCCTTGCCCCGCCGTCCCTCACGCCCGCCTTTCTTGAAAGGAAAGGCCTTCCCGGCCTGGGAAAACCACGCCCGGAGGTGAAGAGCGCAGAGGGACTTTGCACATGCTCAGAGGCCGCCTTTTTTTTCCTTCCCCCATCCCCGAATCGGGGCCGCTTCCCTTGTCTTTTGCGCTCGAAGAAAGGAAAAGGGGAGCCGCGCGTGATATTGCGGGAAGGAAGTGCGCTTTGCACATGCTCGGAAGGGATCTCGTCTTTTGCTTTCTTGCATCGCCCTCCTTTGCTGGGACGGCCTTTTTTTTTTTTTTGCCCCCTCCCCGTTTCGGTCTCCATTATCGACTGGGGGGAAGAAAGAAGAAAGACGGGCGTTTGTTTCATCGGGTGGGTGTTTGGATACAGGAGGGGGAAATACTTTCTGCACATTTTTGGTGCAAGGCGCTTTTTCCCTCCCCCACAAAAAAAATATTTAAGGAAAAAAAAATCCTATAGCTGCTGCTTTTTACGTTCGTTTTCTTTTTCTCCTATTTCCCTCCGGTAACTGGGCGAGGAGCTGGGCTGCCCTCTGTGAAAGGGAGGAATACAGCACTCTGCGTATGCTCAGAGGCGCTTTTTTTTTTTTTTTTTAAACCTTCCAGAATGGCAAGTCGAAGTGCCACTTATCCGCCTTTGCTGATTGTTGTGGTCAACTTGATGGAAAAGCTCAGAGGAGCAGCACCATTTTTCCTTTTTTAAAAGAGATGTTATATTGATTTTACGTTTTATATTATTAATTATAATGTATTAGAATATATTACATTATATTACATATTGCATATATTAGAATATATTACTATATTGTATTGTATTATATATTGCAAATATTCTGTTAGTCAAAGTGGGACAATTACTTTTGTCACTTTCTTCTTTTCCTTTCCTTTTTTTTTTTTAATCCACCCCTTCAAACATCTCTCCTGACTGCTTTTTTCTCTCCCTTCCTTTCTTTTCCAGTCGCCTCATTTTTTGTGGAAGATCGAAACAGTTTTACCATGAATGTTGGAATCGACAAGACTGGGGAGGACAAAATGCAAGTAAGAATTTGGGAAGAAGGAAGGGATCCTGATCAGTGGAGGGAAGATCCCTGATCCCTTAAGACAAAAGTGTGTGTGTGTTTGTGTATATGTATATAAATATCTTTTTTGTAGAAATTAACTATTAACTTGTGATGTGACAGATCTAGGGCAAAGATAACCGGCTTTGCTTTCAGATGATTGGAGATTTAGGCACCAAATTTTCCATCTAAATTAGGCCACCAGATCTGGGCTGCAGAGACACAAGGAAACCACTAGGCAGCAGCTGGGAATATTGTCTCCGTCTCTTTGCTGCCCTCTAATGGCAGTCTGAGATATTGCAGACAAGATCCTTGAGGCATTAAAGCTTTAATACAATCACAGAAATTGGCAGGGGGCAAAAGAGGAACTGTCGAAAAACAACCGCTGATCTGATCTGAAATGGGCAAAGATAGTTTGGGTCCAGTGTGGGCATCTCTACGTCTATTGTCTGCTTCTTAAACAGCTTATCTCAACCTTGGCAACTATAAGATGCCAAGATTGGGAAATGCTGTCTTTTAATGAATCTGTGCCTTTTTTTAAAAATTCCAGCTCGGAAAATTTGTCTCTTGGTGAAGAAGTGTGTGACAAGGATCTTGGATGAAAAATTCAGAAGTGAGATTGTTGTCCCATCAAAATGTGTCTAGAATGGGCCTTGTCAACAAATAGTATTTTTCTTTGTGCTGCTCATTTTAAGTAATACCAGGCATGGCCTCCTTCCCACATAGCTTTAGAGTCCAGTGCAGCTTTTTACATCCCAGATTCTTCTCTGCCCCCAATCTTGGAAAGAGCAAAAGACTAAATTGTGGTAGGGTAGTCTTCTAATCTTTTGTATCCACTTCATTTTGGAGAAGAGACACAGATCCGCAATGCCTGAAGACAATCTTTGATCCCAGTGAGATGTCAATTTAAGGGGAAAACTGGCCAAAACTGGATGAAAATTGGGATTGATTGGATGATCACATGCTCGAGATGAGTTTTACTGAATGAATCACAATGGCTTGAGTGTGCACAAGGCCATAAACCATGGTTTATGTGGCCTAATGGTTGGATTTGCACCTTGTATGAAGCAGTTCCAAACAAAGTGTCCACAATGCCAGCCATGGTTGTATTTACTATTTGGTTTTATTCAGCTGAACAGAAGTATATATGTTATTTATTAGAACAGTCAAATTAAAAATAGCTGTGCTGGGAAAACAAAATTCAAAGCGGCATCCTTCACTCAATACAAGCAATTTGAAAGGGGAAAAGAATTGTAGAATAAACCATAGATAGAAGTGTTAGAAGAAAAAAATAAAGAAGCACCACTTGGAGCTAAATCCAAAAACCTACAATGTAAAGCTTACAAAAACTGGAATATTTCTTGCAATCTCCCTGGGATTTATTTATTTTTTTCCTTTCTTTAGGACAGTCTCGTAAACCTTAACAAAGAAAGAGAGAACGAGGGACGTGATAGTCAGGAGGTGAAAGACAATGAGAAAAAGATAATAGAAGACAACAGAAATGAGGACTGCACATCTACCAAGGATGATTTACAGGTAGGAATCACATTCCCATTTTCCTTCTGTGCTCTCTCTCTCTCTGTCTCTCTCTCACATACACACACACCCTGCACTGTTGTGTGGTCCACTTTAGGAAGTGATGACTACAAAAGTTCCAGAGATAACATTCAGAAGAATTGTCTTAGGGGCCTCTGGATAGAATGGGACAATTTGGTGCAGCTAATATTCCATGGCCAACTCGCCACGGGACCATTTTAACAATTCAATTTTTAAAGTATTTGAAATAATTAAAACATTATTTGAATTTTTGTCGTCCCCATTTCATTCTGGCCGTCCTTTGGCATCCTTTAATTATTCTATTCCACCCTTTCTTTGGTATTAGTATAACTCTTCTCCTGTGGCAAGTTGTCCCCAGCGAATTGGCCACGCGGAAGTTATCCTAGACCTGCTTCTGGAGGCTCCAGCTGCATTTTTCAAATTCCTTGGCACGTACCAGAGTGATGGAACAGCTCCATGTATGAAGCTGGCAGAGCATGATACAAAACTAAGTAAAGATATGTGGCGTTGAAGCTCCTCTCCCCTTGCAGAAAAATAATTACTGGGTGCTTTTTTTTCTTTTCTTTTTCTCTTCGGTATAAATTTTGTTGTTGTTGTTGACAAAGGAATTGGAAGTATAAGTGATCAGTGATATTTTCCTGATAGACCTTACAGCATTGAGTGTCGTACCTTATGATTCTCGACTCTTGACGAATGTATCTTTTATGTATACCGAGACAAATTCCTTGTGTGTTCAATCACGCTTGGCCAATAAAGTATTCTATTCTATTAAAAATGCCTTAAAATCATTTCCTGAATAAAGTTCCCAGGACCTGCCAGATTACGCTTGGATCAAATAATAATTCTAAAATTGACTCAAAAGGGGAAGCAAAGAAAATGATGAAGCATTTTGTTCTATTGGCGATGTAAGATGCACTAATTGGAATTGGCATCCTTCCATTCTTAAGAGACTGTGGTATCGTGCTATGAAACCGGTAACTGCCACTTCCTGTGTTGTTTCAATGTTGTATGCAAAGCTGCAGCGTCCTCTCCAGAGCACGAGGCCTGGGTAATTTAATATGGAGGATGAACCGTTACCCAAGCAGCAGATTCCCCCCTCTCCATGTCACTGAAACAGCCTATTGCAGTGACCCCCAACCTTTTTTGAACCAGGGACTGGTTTCACGATTATTTATTCTTCCACGGACCGGTACCTGAGTAACGCGAGACTCCACCGCCATCGGGACGGCTCTTCGTTCGAAGCCGCCCCCGTCCTCTTCAACGAAACTAAAGCGCGAGCACCCAAAAGCTGCTTTCCAACTGAAAACCCGGAAGCAACCGCAAACCCGGAAGCGCCGTCAAAACAAGATGGCGGCGCCCAAGCTTTGCGGCCTGGTAAAAAATGATCCACGGACCGTTACCGGTCCGGGGACCGGTGGTTGGGGACCCCTGGTCTATTGGACTGGCAGAGTTCCAGTTGCGCCACAGGAGTTACCAGAACGTGATTGTACACTGTCACGAACTGCTTCCGGGACTCTGGCTCCGGATTTTGCCTTGAGGTTGACTCCTGAAGCCTTTTCCAAAAATAGATAAGGCAGTGGAGGTTTGAAATCAGTGTTTCGCCTTCTCCTAGAAGATGGTTCTACCGTTTTATCTGCCGTTGGGGCGTAAAGCTCTCTTCCTCCTTCAAAACTGTTGACCATCTTCTCCTGTGACCCTGGAAAAGGGGCCCTAGATGACCCGGAGTGTACCACAAATATAACAAAAACCAAAACGTAAATAAAGGTCCTTTAATGCCTTCAACTTGGCAATTGTTCACAGTTGGGAGATTAAACTAGTTTTCAGAATAACATTCCAAATGAAAGAACTACAGTTCAGAATCAAAGAGCCGATCACGAAGCAAAAACAAACCGCACTGAAGAAAGTTCCACGACAGACCAGGATAATTAATTACAAACTTCAAGAAGATAACCAGAGAACGCCAACCAAGATAAACCTCATCCAGGAAAAACCACTCTTTGTCTTCAGCATTTGCCCGTACGCACGTCCGTCCTCTTATCCGGTTGTCACAGCTGCAGCCCATGAAGAGGATCAAGGCCCTCTCCTCCTGAGTAGACCTCGCTTTTCCCTGATCCTCTCCTCCCTGCGTGACCTAGGATGGATAGGGGATGGGCCTAGGTCCTCCTCTGACTGCCCAGCCGGCCTCTGCCCTTCCCCAGCCTCCTCCACAACCTCCGGAGCCACATTTCTACTCCCTGTCGGCTGTTCCTCCTCTCCCTCAGAGTCAGTCTCCACCAGGGGCATGACAGGTGCTTTTTCAGGAGGCAACTGGACTTTCTTGGTTTTTCTTTTGAAGGCATTTTGCTTCTCATCCAAGCTGTCAGGGTTCCGACGGATGCCCTAATTAATTCATGAGCCTCGAGCCAAGGTTCAAAAGAAATCCAATTATTTATTAGGAGCAACATGTCAGCACTTTTCCTGACAGGCCCTTACGAGATGCTACCAAGGGACCAAGGCGTCACTGCTCCTCACTCAAGGACGGCCAGCTCGGTGTCCATTATCTTCCAAAAGATACAGTAATAATAATAACAATAATACCTGGGATTAGAGTGGTGGCCTAAAGGAGGAACTCTCGCCCCATAATCAGAAGGCTGTGAATTCGATCCCAGGTAGAGGCAGATGGTCCTTTCTCTGGGCACCATGAGATTATATCTGCTGAACGAAAGGGCATCCAGTCATTAAACCCTCTGCTAGCTCTCCATTCAGTTGCCCACTCTGCAAGGGATTATGGGGTCATTAAAAGAAGTTGACGAATACCCGGGATTGTGGCAAATGAAATCCATTTTTTCCTAAATTAACCACTTGAAAATCTTGAAGGGTGTCCCTGTCGAAGAAATTCATCAGTAGCTGTCAAGGCTCCGGCATCCACCCCCCATTCAAATCATAAGTCTAACTTAGTTTAGTTTTACTTTATTGTCCTTGCACCTCGTACAACAAAATCAAACACCATCTTCAGTGCACATCATGACCAGGAAAATAAACACAAACACACATCCTTCACTCTTCACACATTGAACCGGAAACCCCCGACACCGCACCAACACTGCACTATACAGTAGAATTCAATAGAGTTACTGCCCTGGGATAGAATCTGTTTTTCAGCCTGTTTGTCCTTGTTTTTATTCTCCTGTACCGTCTGCCAGATGGTAATAGTTCAAAAAAAAAGGATTCCCAGGATGAGATGGATCTTTGAGAATGTTTTGAGCTTTCTTAAGGCAGCAGGAGCTATAAAGCTCTTCCAAAGAGGGGAGAGGGCAACCCATGATCCTCTGGGCAATGACCTTAGCCCTCTGGAGTACTCTCCTATTTCCAATTGGCAAACCATACAGAAGTGCAGTAAATTAAGATACTCTCTATGATGCAGCGGTAGGAGGTTCCCAGCAGTTCTTCATTCGGTTGTTGTTTTCTGAGAAGCCTCAGGTAGTATAATCTCTGCTGGGCCCTTTTGACCAGTGCTGCAATGTGAGCATCCCAGGTCAGGTCCTCTTTTAGGGTAACACCCAGAAATTTAAAACTGTCCACTTGCTCCACTTGGTCTCCATTGATAAGCAAGGGCTGGATGTCTGACATGTTCCTTCTATAATCCACTATAAGCTCCTTGGTCTTATTGATGTTGAGGACGAAGTTATTGTCTCCACATCAGCCGCATCTCTCAGTTTAAAAAAAATTTTTTTTATTAGGAGTGAACATGCCAGCGCTACCTGGGTGCAGCTGACTCTGAGACACATTATTCATCTCACCCTTGACCCTGTTCTTCCCCCACCCTCTGGATGTCTATTCTCCAATGGGACACATCCATAGCCAAGAGTCATCAATCATGCTCTCCAGTAATAATCTTGCATGCTTTGGCAGCCTAGCAATTATCCATGAAAGCATTTAAGGAATGCACTCCTTCCCCCACTCCCTTTCTGCTGGCAACTCTAAAAGACCAGATAAATATTTTTGAGTTGACAGTAAGCTATAAACACTCTTAAAATAATACGATGAAAAGAAAAAGAGAGGAGGGGTATTTTTATTTTTATTTTTGCTTTCTTGGACTAGAAGTCAGTCTTGGAGTTAACCTCTTCAATGAAATACATTTCATTTATTTTATTCCAGATGCTCAAATTCATTCTGGACCATCTGTCTGAATCTTATTTCATATTTGTCCATAGGTTCTTTGAATACAGGTAGTCCTCAGCTTATAACCATTGACTTAGTAATCATTCAAAGTTAGAAGGGAAACCCGCAAAAGGTACTTTTAAGACCCGTTGTCAGCTTTGGAAGCCATATTGAGATCCGATCCTCCCGCGCTGCCACATTTTGAGCCTGGGAAAGTGGGAATTTATTGGAGTATATCTAGTTACACATGATAACATTCTTTTTCTGATTCAAGGTCAGGTGGTGTTGCGCATAACTGAGAGGAAGTCTTAACTTGGGACAGATGGTAATGGGGCCATGTGATGTGACGATGGGTACAGGGGATGGATTTTGTAGTTTTTACTTATTGTAAAGAAGCCCGGAACTTTCAGATTCAGGATTCCACAGTTGTGCCAGTTGTGCCATCCAAAATAAAAGGAACCTTTCAGAAGATGTCTGTCTCGGAGTTATTGGGTGGAATGGGGGGTTGCTGGAACGCTGACACCTGTATTAGAAGTTCTGACAGCTGCATCCCTCCCCTAGTCTTCACTTTTATTACATTTTAAGCATTCAGCCACCGACCCACATTGACAGCCCTTTGCAGGATCCTCTGGTGCTATCAAAAAGCATGCATTGCGGACAGTGGATTCACTTAATGACCGCTGCAAAAAAAAAACACGTTGTAAAATCAGGCTGGTCACATTATGGCCAACAGCTGGCATTACCTACGACTGTAATTCATGTACTTCCAGGCACAGTTATGGTCTTAAGTTGAGGACTCCCTGTAAATAAAAAATGTCGAGAGTTTAATCAGGATTTATTTTTGAGAATCCTTTATACTGATTTTTTTTCTCTCTCTGCTGTTCTAGCAAAATCCTCTGTCCTTTTACTGACTAAACATAACAACGCGGAGAATCTTGCTATTCTGGTTATGAGTTTTCTGAATCTGTCCACTTGGCTGTTGGTGACATAGACGGATGGACCAGATGTAGGAGAGATTGTCGAGAGGTTGAGAAAGGGATGGAAGAAACCCATAGCTTATGTGTACAGGGCAGAAGAAACAGCAAAGCTTGTTCACAAGAAGATGGAGGGAGGGAGAAGCACGTTAAGGCTTGAAGGCTGCTCAGTGGTTTTCAAAGTTGACAACTTTTAGGGTGGACTTCAACACCCAGAATTCCCCAGCACTGGTTTCATAGTCTGATTTACCTTGGCATTATTTTGATTATTAAATTATATAATCCAAAGCGATTCTGGGCCTTTCTGTGCTGGATTTCTGCAATGGGACCAGTACATTACAGGCCTGTTGTTGGTTGAAATCTTCCAGTCTCAAAATATCCCTGCTGTTCTGATTGGGGATAGCTTTTCAGGTATTAACAGTCTCTCTTCCCCTATTTTGTTTTCTTAACAAGGAGCTGCAGGGGATTAAAATGGAACAAGGTGAAAGCGCTAAGGCCTTGGTGACGGAAGAGGAGGAGGAGGAGGAAGAAGACAGAAACCACAAGGAGGTACTTTTTAAGAATAATTTTACCCTAGGTTGGCAAGCAGATTTTATGTTTAATTTCAAACTGCAGTTGTATTAATCGGAGCAGGATGGAGGCTGTTTTTTTTATTTATTTACTTATGTTCTGCCTGTCATATTATGCTTGAGTGCATAATAATCCCGCGAGGTAGATTGGGCTAAGCAAGAAGGATTAGTCAAGTGAGTTTTGGTATGTGAGAGAACCAAGACCTGGGTTTGTACAATCCATGTCCGGCTCCTTCTCTACAGCCCCATCCTGGGCCTGGGATTGAGAGGAAAGGACCCGCCCGGATGATTCTCCTCAGGGAGCTTCCATGATTGAAAAGAGACTCTAGCATCAGGTTTTCTTAAAATGTCACATCTGCCTCTTCCCTTTCTCATAAAGCATAATAGATTTCCTCCCTCCTCCCTTCACTTTCCCCTTTCTTTCTTTCTTCCCCTCCCTCCCTCCTTCTCATTTCCTTCTTTCCTTTTCTATCTTCCTTCCTTCCCCCCCTTTCCTTTCCTTTTCCCCTTTTTTCTTCCCCTCCCTCCTTCCCTCCCTTTCTCTTTCCCATTTCTTCTTCCTTTTCTCTTCTACCATTTCCTTCTCCTTCTCTCCCTCCTTTCCCTTTCCCCTTTCCCTCCTTCTCTCCTCCCCTCCCTCCTTCTCTCCCTCCCTTCCTTTCCCCTTCCCTTTTCTTCCTTCTCTCTTCCACCTTCCTTCCTTCCCTCCCTCCCTCCCCCATTCCATTCCTACTAAAAGCTAGTAGAGTAGAAGTTGAATAAGGAAGTCTGAAAGAACTCTTCTTGAAAGCAAGATGCTCCGGTCAAAATCTGTTCAAGGTTTTGTATTTCTTTGCCTAACTCTAGTTCTTCCTTTCCTGAAATTCATTGATTTCTTTGGGGTGTAAAAATGTCGCCTGGATATCTTTAAACAGAACCCGGTGGCTTTTTTCAGTTGGGGGCTGGAAAAGTGGAAACAGAGAAAGTTCTCGTGGTGTCTATTAATACAGTTTTATTCAATGGAAGGTGCAGCCTGATTCAGACATGATTGACCTGAGTCAAGTGAAAGAAGAAGAGGAAGAAGGCAAGGAAGAGAACAGCAGTGGGGAGATAGTGGTATGTCTTTATGGTATTGAAGCTGCATCTTGTGCACAGGAAGCCAAGTTACAGAAAAAATTGGCCAAGAGGAATATTTTTGTGAAGGTTTACATTAAATTTTATTGCTACTGGTTTCGTTCAATTTTTAAGCTAAAAAGACATAAATTAATTTACGTTAATACTAAAAAGAAAAATAAAGAAATTGCTATTGCTTCAATATTCTGTGCCAGTGAAATAATAAGTTTTGCTAGAGTTCCTAAGTAGATTTTTCTGTCTGTATAATTATGTTTCTCTTTTCCCCTAGGATTCTGGAAGCATTGAGAGCAGGTAAGAATTGGAGGTTTTTTTAATTTCATGGCATCTCTGCCGGAATTTCTGTCAGGGGCAAAGGTTCAGGGCCATTAAGTTAAATTGCAGTTCAGAAATATTGTTCAAGTCTGCACACAAGAATCTAGTCAACTAAACTTCAATCTGAATCTGCGCCAGATAAAAGTCAACGGAATTTAAGGAGGGGCTGGAGTTGGACCACTTACGGCAACATAATGATTCTAAGCTAATGACACGTTTTACTCCCACCACCACCACCACCAGTTTTGCCTGCTCTTCTACAGTTTCACCCAAGGCTCAAAAAATAAATCTTTTCCTAGGAACTTGGAGTGATGAGTTAAATGTTCGGGTTCATCAAATGTATTTATTGCAAGTAGAAAAAGCAGTAGTAATTAAAATCAGCCGTTGCAGGATCAACAGTCCAGTTCTCTTAACGTGGCCCGAATGGTTTAAATACTGTCTTTTTCTCCTGCCCTTTCGAGTTTCTTGTCACTCCTTCCTTGCAATAGAGGCGAATATCTGTAGTTCAGGGTTCAACTGTGGCATCCTTGGTGCTCTCTTGAGTTTGGATGTCTGCTTGCAAGACGTTTCATTATCTGACTAGGTAACACCATCAGTGCGAAGGAGGGTGGGGTTTTGCTCCCTCTTTTATATACAATGCTTTGACCTCCCAGGGTTGATGGGGGCTTCAATAGACTAGGGCAGGAGTCGCCAACCTTTTGGACCTCAGGGACCACCAAACTCATCATTTTCAATCCCGCGGACCAGAGACCCTGGGAAAATCCCCAAAAAAGTCTGCAGGAAAATTCCGCACCCCGTTTTCCTACCGATCGATCATTCTTTATTTGGGATCGCAGGATACCGTCTCCAGCTCCGTTCTCGGGGACGGAGAGAGAGAGAGAGAGAAAGAGAGACTTTTGGCTTCGTGCAAGGAAAGCAGCAGCAACAGCAGAAGTCTTTCTTTCTTTCCGCCAGAAATGAGTCTTTGTGAGACTTATTGCGCCGGCGCAGCCTCTTGGAGCAGGATGCCTTGCAGGGTCCCAAAGAATCATTTCTGGCGGAGTTTGGGGGAGAGCAAGAAAGACTTTTGCTGCTTTCCTTGCATGCAGCCAAAAGCAGAAGAAGAAAGAAGCGGAAAGAAGCAGCCCGGTGGCCAGGCAAGGCACGTGGGGCAAGTTCCCCCATTCCGCCCTTTTCTTCCTCCCCTCACTACCTCGTGTTGTTCACAATGCAAGGGACGCAAGCCTTGTGTTCCCGCAGGCCATGTGGGCGGCACAGCCTTGTGTTCCCACGCAGCCTGGATTAATTGCTTTTGGGGTTGACATTTCTCTGCGGACCACCAAAATTTTCTTGCAGACTACCAGTAGTCCCCGGCCCACTGGTTGGCGACCACTGGACTAGGGAACATCATTATGCGAGGGGATGTGCCAGTGGTGGGATTCAATTTTTTTTACTACCGGTTCTGTGGGCGTGGCTTGGTGGGCGCGGCAGGGGGAAGGATACTGTAAAATCTCCAGTCAGAGGTGGTATTTGCCGGTTCTCCAAACGACTCAAAATTTCGGCTACCGGTTCTCCAGAACTGGTCAGAACCTGCTGAATATACCACCTCTGAGTTGTACAGTTTTCTGCCTGTTTATATGTAATAGTTTTCCTTGCCCATTTTGGATGGGGTGTTGTTTCCTTCGTGGCAGGAGGAAGGAAGAAGGAAACTACAGATACTCCTCCGCTCAAAACCATTCAGTTACAACAGCGTCGAAAAAAGCGACTTTTTTCCTCATTTATGACTGTTGCCGCATCCCCCGTGATCCCATGATCAAAATTCTAACTTTTGGCAACTGACACGTATTTAGGATGGTTGCTGCGTCCCCTTTTTGCGACCTTCTGACAAGCAACGTCAACGGGGAAGCCAGATTCCACTTAACCGTGTTCCTAATTTAACAATGGGGGGTGGATTCACTCCGCTCTGACAAGATCCTAAAATGAGGGGGGAGGAAATCTCACTTAACTGTCTTGTCAGGGTTCCAGGTAATAGGGTCATAGCAAACAGAACTCCAAGGCAAGCAGATTCCTCAAAGAACAGTTTTATTGGACGTATCATACTGGCACAGACTGGTGAAAACCGCCTGTCAATTAATAAAACATTTTGTATACACGTTTTATAGTTGATAACAGAAAGAAGGGGGAAGAGTTTCAAAGAGCAGGCAGCAGTGTGGAATCGAAAGTACATTCCATTCATATTTTCTTCAAAGACTGATTAGATGACTGAAGCTTCTGCTGTGAAAAAATCGTAATTGGAGAGCATGATTGATGACTCTTGGCTATGGAAGTGTTTCGTTGGATGATACACCCAGACGGGTGGGGGGGAAAGCAGGATCAAGGGTGGCAGTGAATTACGTATCTCAGAGTTGGCTGTGCCCAGGTTAGTGCCGGATGTAGAATCTTAACTTCAAATAGATCCTCTTTAGTTTTGGGAGTGTGGCTCGAGGCTCATGATTTAATTGGAGTAACTGCCAGAATCCTGACACCGACTCTAAAGGTTCCCACGGTTTTCACCTAATTAAAAGTAAACGTTTTTTCCCCCTTTCCCAAACAGTCAGTCACATGGTCCAATCAAGGTGCTGTCCGGTTGCTTGGAAACTTCACTCCTCTTTTCAGCTACCTGTGGGAATGTCCTTGGTTCTCAGGGGAAACTATTTTGTTTTGGCTACAAAACCCCAGCTATCTCTATTCTCACCTCTCTATCCCTCATCACCTGTCAGGATTCCGGCAGGAACCCAATTAAATCCTGAGTCTCGAGCCAAACTTCCAAAACTTCAAAAGGATTTATTGGGAGTTAAAATATCCGGCATTGCCTGGGTGTAGCCGACTCCGAAACACATAATTCATTGTTACCCTTGACCCTGGTTTTTTCCCACCCCCTGGGCGTATCGTAATTCATATTCTCCAATGGGACACATCCATAGCCAAGAGTCATCAATCATGCACTCCAGGTAGATTTTTGCACGGCAGAAACTTCAGTCACCTAGTTACTATCTTTGAAAAACTATTTATGGAATGCACTTTTGATTTCCAAGCTGCCACACTGCTCTTTCAAACCCCTTTCCCCCCCTCCCTTTCTGTTGGCAACTCTAAAAGGACCATAGAAATATTTTATGAGTTGACATCACCATTGTGGCAATACTGAAGCCTCCTCCAAGATGGCCTCAGTCAGGCCAGCTTCAGAGTTGACAGTCTCACTTAGCAACAGAAATGTTGGGCTCAATTGCAGTCGTACATGTACACCCCTAGCCCAAAATGGCAGGACAAGCTATTGCCTATAAAAGGCAGCAAACCCCACTTTCCCTCACACTGATACTGTTAACCGAGTCGGGTAACGAAACGTCTGCAGGTAAACCCTCAAGCTCACAGAACACCAAGAACTCTTAGGAATGAGAGTCATTTAAATTTGCGCTTCGTGTTCTTTTCTTTGTTCCGGGGTCAATTGTGTTGATTCCTTTTTTCCCTTTCTCTCCTTGGGTTTCTCAGAGAAGAAGACGAGCCGCTGGCTGGGAGACTAGAGGAGATCAAGCAAAGATACGGAAATTTGTGTCAGAACAGCACCGTTTTCCAAGAAATGATCCTGCGGCTCAAAGGTCAGGCTCCTTTAGTTGATGTGCAGAGTTTACAGGGCATAATATGGTCTCTGGTGATGCTTTGGTTTCCAGTGGGGTCTTAGTCACTCCCTTGGCCCAGTCAGCTATTCTGTTCTGGTTTGGATTTTCCTGATTTTTAGTCAGTCTTGAATCTTGACCACTATCTGCCCAAGTCCCTGCAGTGTTCTTGGCAACATTTTTGGGGAAGGTTTGCCTCCATTAAGGCTGAGAGGGAGGGATTGGCTCAAAAGTCATTCAAACCAGCTAAGCAAGACTAAAACTCGCAGTCTTCTGATTTCTATCCCTGTGCCTTTAACAAAAAAAAACCTAAATTGGCTCTGTTCCGCCACACCGAATTCAGTGTTTCTCAACTTGGCAGCTCTAAGAGGTAAGTGTCAACTCCTAAATCATTCCTATGCCAGTTACCGAGTTACCATAAGAAAGAGTGTGGGGGGGGGGGGGGGGGAAGGCCTGACGGAGCACATTCCATGCTTATTTTGTGGAGATTGTAGCCTAGGCTACTGGCTCTTCTGCCCATGAAATTTTTCATTGGAGAGCGTGATTGATGACACCCAGCCCGTGAACGTGTTTTGTTGGAGAATCTGATATATAATACATCTAGTGGGGTGGGAGAAACAGAGTCCTAGGTGATAGTAAATTACGTGTCTCAGAGTTGGCTTCATACAGGTTAATGCCGGTCAAGTTGCTCCTAATAAATCTTTTGGTTTCTTTTGAAACTTGGCTCGAGGCTCATGATTTAATAAGGGCAATCGCCGGAATCCTGACAGTAAGGACCAGTTCCTAGAATTCCTCACCTGGCCATGTTTCTTTAACTGGTCTCTCCCCTGTTTCTTTGACTTGGTCAGGAACTTTTTGACTTCTGTCAGGATTCTGGCACTTAACCCCATTTAAATCATGAGTCTCGAGCCAAACTTCCAAAACTTCAAAAAGGATTTATTAGGAGTTAACATGTCCGGCGCTGACTGGGTGTAGCCGACTTTGAGACCCATCATTCATTGTCACCCTTGACCCTGGTTTTTCTCCCCACCCCCTGGGTGTATCGTAATTCACATTCTCCAATGGGACACATCCATAGCCAAGAGTCATCAATCATGTTCTCCAATTAGAATTTTGCGCGGCACAAACTTCGGTCACTTAGTTACTATCTTTGAAAACTATTTATGGAATGCACTTTCGGTTCTGCAAGCTGCTGCACTGTTCGTCCCCTCCTTTTCTGTTGGCAATTCTGAAAAGACCATAGAAATGTTTTATGAGTTGACATCTCCGTTCTCTTGTTTTTCCGCAGCCGGATGGAGGAACCAAAATAAGGAACGTGATTGTTTGCCTGGGGGCTCGGAGGGACTGCAGCTGAACAGGATGATGTGGGGCGGAGACGAAGTCAGCTTTACCCCCAGCGTTGGGGGCCAATTGGGGGCCCTGGACAGTCCCTCGAGGACGGTGGATTGTCTGCTGGAGGCCAGAGCTCCAATCTCGATCCCATTCGGTGGGGGCTTCTTCGACTTCAGCGAGTTTGCGGTCCAGCAGAGTTTCCTTCAGAGGAAAGGCCAGGAGCTCTCCAAAACGTTTGGGTCAGGCCTGAGCTCCGGCGTGGTGGAGCTCCGAACTCAGGAGAAGCCGCTGCTGGGGGAGAAACCCTACGAGTGCAACGAGTGCGGGAAAAGCTTCGGCAAGCGCGCCACTCTGAACACCCACGGCCGGACGCACACGGGGGAGAAGCCCTTCCAGTGCTCGCACTGCGACAAGCGCTTCAGCCAGAGCTCCCACCTCCAGCTGCACAAGCAGACCCACACGGCGGAGAAGCCCTACAAGTGCAACGAGTGCGGGAAGAGCTTCGGCAAACGCTCCACCCTGAACACCCACGGCCGGACGCACACGGGGGAGAAGCCCTTCAAGTGCTCGCACTGCGACAAGCGCTTCAGCCAGAGCTCCCACCTCCAGCTGCACGAGCGGACGCACACGGGGGAGAAGCCCTACAAATGCCTGCTGTGCGAGAAGAGCTATAACCAGCGGTCCAGCCTCATCATCCACGAGCGGAGCCACACGGGCGAGAAGCCCTACTCCTGCCTGGAGTGCGGGAAGAGCTTCAGCCAAAAGGCCACCCTGGTCCTCCACGAGAAGAGCCACCGTGGGGAGAAGCCCTACAAGTGCCTGGAGTGCGGCAAGGGCTTCAGCCTGAGCGCCGACCTCATCCGCCACCAGAGCATCCACACGGGAGAGAAGCCCTACACCTGCTCCGAGTGCGGGAAGAGCTTCAGCCAAAACTCCCACCTCATGGCCCACATCCGGACCCACACGGGCGAGAAGCCCCACAAGTGCCTGGAGTGCGGCAAGGGCTTCAACTGGAGCTCGGAGCTCATCGCCCACGAGCGGACGCACACCGGCGAGAAGCCCTACCAGTGCCTCTACTGCGCCAAGAGCTTCAGCGTCCGCTCCAGCCTCAGCAAACACGAGCGGACCCACACGGGCGAGAAGCCCTTCGTCTGCCCACAGTGCGGGAAGGGCTTCATCCAGCGCTCCAGCTTGGTGGCGCACGAGCGCTCCCACACCGGCGAGCGGCCCTACCTGTGCCTGGGCTGCGGCAAAGGCTTCCGGGAGAGCTCGCAGCTCATTGCCCACGAGCGGACCCACACCGGCGAGAAGCCCTACGTCTGCTCGGAGTGCGGCAGCTGCTTCAAAGCCAAGGCCGCCCTCCTCCGCCACCAGCGCGGTCACTTTGGCCTCAACTCGTTCATCTGTGCCGACTGCGGGAAGATTTTCTCCTCAGCCGCGGAGTCCACGGAGAAGTGTCCCGAGTGCGTGAACCTGAGCCTGATGTCGGATCTTGTGCGGGCGTCGGAAGAGGCTGATCTGGAAACGGCCGAAGGAGCGGGACAAAGTGACGATGCTAAGATGTGAACGGGCGAGGCCGGCTGGGCCTTGGGTGTTCTGCTTTTTTTGCCGGGCGTACAGCTAGCTTCCTCTTCAGACCCCACAAAAGGGACTGTGCTGCGGCCGACGGAGGGCCGGTTTTGTCGACGGGAGGTGACTGGGCTGCTGAATGCCTTCCCCTCAGATGTGAGATGGCCATCGCAGTTTTGGTTCCTGTTGCCAAACCGGGCCCGTTTCAGACCCTTTTGGAGGGAAACTGGAAATGCAGAGAGGGGACCAGAATCAGGTGGATCCGAAAACGACAGAGAATGCCTGAAGTTTTAGTATCGTCCTTTGCTACCCAGGGCCTAGAATGCAGTTCCTGATCAACTGGAAAGTTGGATCTGTAGCAGAGGAACCATGTGTCTTTGAAGCTCTTTTTTTTGGTCCACGGGTCCCCTTGCCATCTCTCTGAAGAGACTTCGGTTTCACAGAGGGGTTTTTTAAAACGAATTGCGTTCAACTTTTTAATGGATTTGAGCCGTAAAGAACTTTTACCTCACGAAATCCTAGTGGATGCATGTGAAATACTTGGGAGCGGCCTGGCCTTCAGATCGGGCTTGAGTCAGCCTACCTGAGCACAGAGCCAGAATGTGTTTTTTTTTTGCCTTGCATCAAAAAATAGTGGCACAGAAGCAAAAAAATACCAGAGGGGACATTAACGGAGGAAAACTGGTTTGGTCACGTTGGACCTTGAGCAACCAATTCGATCCCTATCTCGTTTCACATTTGCTTTAGAGAGCAAGCTCAGCTGACTAGGTTTTTATTATTTATTCGATAGCTAGATTAGACATGCAAGCTTTTTCTCCCTTCGGATGAAATGAGGGTGATTTGGTAGGACATCCCAATGAACGTGGGGACATCCAGGTCCAAGATGGCTGGAATGAAAGGCAGCTTTCCAGACGGGCACCCCGGTAAAGAGAGATTGCAGGAAAACATAACGTCTGAACACAACTCTTTTCCAAGAAAGCCGTTCTAGGTACCTCAAGAAGGTGTGGCTCTGTTACAAGAGAGGGAAAAATGAACTGTTAACAGTTTTGCACTTAATTCCCTGGAAGTGGAAAGCTAGTAGCTCGGGGCTAGTACAAGGCTATCTCTTGTACTACTTGCAGTGAACCTGTTCCGTAAATAAACCTATTTAGGCAGCATTTTTCCTCCTGTTCGCCCTGCAGTAGTGTATCTCAACCTTGACAACTTTTAAGATGGGTAGACTTCAAGTCCCAGAATTCCTCAGCTAGCCATGCTGGCTGGGGAATTCTGGGACTTGAAGTCCACCCATCTTAAAAGTTGCCAAAGTTTAAAAAAAAAACCCAACAACACTGTCCTACAGTAACATAAGCCACCCATTAACCACTTAGCACTTCATACCTAAACCCGCCTAAAGCCTTCCCTAACCTCATTTCCTTGCTGACTTTGAATTATGGGCATTGTAGTTACATCTGAAGAGCATGAGGTTTGGGAAGAAGCTTAGAATTCTGGATTTTTTCTTTTCTTTGTAAGTTAGGAGGTCCAGGAATTGACACACTCTGCAAACTAAAAGTTCGTACCAGGTAGGTAGATGATAGATAGATACAGTAAACAACTTCTGAAGTGGGAGATCCATATTTTTTCCTCTCCAATGGTTCTGGGGAAAAGGTAAAGCTTTGAAATTTGCCGCTCTGCAAAAAAGTGGGTTTTTTTTTTTGTAAGTCATCAGCTTTGCGTTGGCCGCACCTGGCTGAATCCAGTTGTAAAACAGTTTAAGAGTCCTAAAGTTCTGTAGAAAAGGGGGGGAAATGTCTCCGTGAAAGAATTTTTCCTCATGTGAGGGAAAATTCCTCACCAGTTTTGCCTCATGAAGGCAGCTGGGATTCCTTGCGAAGTGAAATCATTTTTTTTAAAGTTGATGTCTGTAGGACAGAGGTTCCTTTAGACCAGAGATCTCCCAACTTTTAAGACTTGTGGGCTTCAATTCCCAGAATTCCCCAGCCAGCCAGTTCATCCTTATTTCCTTCCAAGAAATTCACTGCACAGGCCAATTCTTTTGCGTTTTTATTCAGAGCGTTTAGTGCACACGAGGGGTGTGTGTGTGTGTGATTCTGTCACAGAAATTGTACCCTGCCAAATTCTTTCATTTGCAACTTAAGCCATATATAACAATCCAAGGGTCTCTCCCCAATCTTGGTTTGTCCAGATTGTGGCTTAGGCCGTCCTATCCTTAAGTTAGTGTGAATGTGAATAGAATTGAGTTGAAAACAACTGGGAGTGCCCAGGCTGGATTAATACAGCACTAACAAGAGCACTTAGACCTATATACCACTTCATAGTGCTTCACAGTCCTCTCTAAGCGGTTTGCAGAATCAGCCTATTGCCCCCCAATAATCTGGCTTCTCATTTTACGGACCTCGGAAGGATGGAAGGCTGAGTCAACCTTGAGCCGTTCAGGATCGAACTCCATGCAGTCAGCAGAGTGAGTTTGCTTTATAGCTTTCTAACCACTCTGCCACTACAACTCTTGTTACAGAGGCAAAGTCAGTGATCGCTTTCCATCACCCGTGTACGTAAAGTGCGCCTGAAAATGTGACGTCCTTGGGGCTCTCTGAGCTTGGTGGTTTTCTTGCAGACTTTCACCACCGAACTAGGCAACATCATCAGTGCCGGAGAGAGTGGGGGGTTTACCACTTCTAGCACTGATGAGGTTACCTATTAGGGTAAGGAAACGTCTGCAAGAAAGCAAGCAAGCTCAGAGATCACCAAGGACCCCATAGCTCTACCCTGAGCTATAAATATTATCTTCTGTCGGTACACCTGAAAATAACCATGGTTTAGAACAGGGGTAGTCAACCTTTTTATACCTACCGCCCACTTTTGTATCTCTGTTAGTAATAAAATTTTCTGTAACCGCCCACCGGTTCCACAGTAATGGTGATTTATAAAGTAGGGGACAAAACCTCTACCGCCCACCATGAAAGCTGGAACGCCCACTAGTGGGTGGTAGGGGCCAGGTTGACTACCACTGGTTTAGAAGAAAATGAAATGTCTCCAAAAGCTGATGCTTTGCAAGGCTGTTAACATCTCATGAAATTTCCGTATTCTTGCGAGACATCACAGAAGATGTTGATTCCTTGATGTTTTGAGGGTTGAGGATCATTTTCTTTTAAAAAATATATATAATTATTTTATGGGCACTCTTTGGAGTTGTGGAATCTGGAACGATTGCTGACCCCTGATGTCAAATATCACCCTGTACGTGACACTTGTATAGGCTCTATAATCTGATGCTGTCTTCAGCGGTAGGAAATGATATTTTTTTCTCTCTTGTTTCTTTTTTTAAAAAAACAAAATCTAATACAGGTAACAAGCAATGCCTGCCTTCCTCACGGGCTTCTTCCGTTAGCTTGGCTACTCTAAAAGGGCACATTGTCATAAGGACGTTGCCGTGCTTTCAGAAATTGTGAAATGCACACTTGAATATTTAAACCAGGGATGTCAAACTCAAGGCCCTGGGGGCCAGATCCAGCCTGCAGGGTACTTAGATCTGGCCCATGGGGCCGCCCTGGAAACAGTGAAGGACTGGCCCACAGTGCTTCTGCCAGTGAAAATCGGGCTCCCAAACTCCGTTTTTGGCTGCCACCGCAACCCTCTGCCAGTGAAAATGGTCCCGAGTTCCGTTTTCACTGGCAGAGGGTTGCAGGAGGCCATGGTAGCCGAAAACGGAGCTCGGGAGCCCGTTTTCACCGCCAGAGCGCTCAAACCACCACAGGTGCCCCCAACAGGAGTGATGTTGAGCTGGCCATGCCCCCCCCGCTCCCCCCCCCACGTGGTCAAACACAACTCTGATGTGGCCCTCAAAGAAATTGAGTTTTGATACCCCTGATTTAAACCCTGGGGGACTGGCGCTCCATCCCATGAGCGCTGCCTCCATCAATCATCCGTTGTTCTCCTGTTAGAGTAATGCTTCTCAACCTTGGCAATTTTTGAAGGTGGGTGGATTTCAACTCCCAGAATTCCCCAGCCAGCCATGGGGAATTCTGGGAGTTGAAGTCCACCCACCTTCAAAAGTTGCCAAGGTTGAATAATCCTGCATTGGGGTTTATGTAAAGCTTTCTGACTGTAAGCAAGATCTACTTGTATGAATTGTACATTGTTCGAAATGGGGAGGTCTCCTCGATTTTGTCTCCAGCTATGGAATATTACTCCAATATCCAAATAGGCTGGTCTTTAATCCCCCCCACTCTTTTAAAATTTTTGTAATGCTCTTATTTTGGGGGGGGGTTTCCTCTCTCCTCCCCAGCTTTCTGGCTTTGCTTTCATTGTGAATATGCTTTGTTCCGCATCTCACTTGGGCTCTTGGTTTTTTTCTTCGTTATTTTTGGGCGTTAATAACAAATAATAAAATGATCTCTTTAACATGCCAAAAAAAAAAAATAATTCTTCTGCCTTGTCCATCCATCTTGGCCTTGGTGTCTTCCTCACTATCCAGGTTTGCTTCTTTATCCTATTTCTTCAGGACACATGAATCGTTCCATTGGAGACTTGTTCTCCTCTCGTCTGTCGTCCAGTCCTAAATCCAGTCTGCGGATTTTGAATGTATCGTTTGCAATTCGTAACCTTTGCAACATTGGCAATATGCAGTGTCCAGTGCCCCCAAGTGTACCCATTTATATGCATATCTCAGAAATCATATAAGATTGGATCTAAATCCTAAAGGTATTTGCATATCTGTGTTCATGTTACTTTAGAAAAGACGTATTTTGTTTATTAATATCCTGCCTTTATTATTATTTGTAAATAAGGCAGTGGACATACCTAATACTCCTCCCTCCTATTTTTCTCACAACAATCACGTGAGGGGAGTTGGACTAAGAGAGAGGGACTGGCTGAAAGTTATGCAGCTGGCTTTGATCCCTGGGGTGGGACTAGAACTCACAATCTGGCGATTGGCTCAAAGTTACCCAGCCAGCTTCCATGCCTAAGGCAGGTCTAGAACTCACAATCTCCTGGTGATTGGCCCAAAGCCACCCGGCTGGTTTCATGCCTAAGGCAGGACTCGAATTCACATTCTCCTCTCCCAACACAGTTCTTTTCCGTATTCATTCCAGTTAAAGTTGCTTCCTAAACCAGTAAGTTCCCTAAACAGCCCACATGATGCAGTTGATATAGAGTATAAACTTGGCAACTTTTAAGATGTTTAGACTTCCAACTCCCAGAATTTCCTTGCCAGCCTAGGAAATTCTGGGAGTTGAAGTCTATACACCTTATAGTGGGCAAGTTCAAAAAGCACCTGGCATGCCATGTTTTCCCCAAAATAAGACCTAACTGGAAAAAATGATTTTTTTTGGATGCTTGTAATATAAGCCCTGCCCCAAAAATAACCCCCAGTTAACTCAGCCAGATGGATGCATTTACTATATTTCCCTGAAAATAAGACCTAACTGGAAAAAATGATTTTTTAGGATGCTTGTAATATAAGCCCTGCCCCCAAAATAACCCCCAGTTAACTCAGCCAGATGAATGCATTTACTATATTTCCCTGAAAATAAGACCTAACTGGAAAAAAAATGCCCTAATGCGTCTTTTGGAGCAAAAATTAAGACCCGGTCTTATTTTAGGGAAATACGGTAGATGAATTGCTGGAGGTGATGCTCGCCAATTGGTAACCAAGGAGAAAATGGGAATTTTTTCAAAACTGCTTTATTATAATTTCTATTCCTCACCTTATTCCCACATTTAATTCGTGTTTTGCTGCAATTTATGCAAGTTCATCATACTTTTAGTATGCTTATTATGAAGCAACATTTCCACAACACTCCCAAATTTCATCTACTGACTTAAGCAGGGGCCGTCCACCTTGGCAACTTTTAAGACTTGTGTCTATGGAGATTCTCCATCATCCAGGTCATGGTTGTCCCAAAGATGCTTTCTTCAGAGGCAACTGGACTTTCTGTTTTTTCTTTTGAAGATGTTTCACTTCTCATCCAAGAAGCTTCTTCAGCTCTGACTGGATGGCGCAACATAGGAGAATAAACCCATCAGGACTAGATTCAGCAGGCCACCTGCATTTAAAAGACCCGGGCCATTCTTTTGAAGACAACAAAGTCCACATTTTGGACAGAGAGGACCGCTTGTTTGAAAGGGGTCAAAGAGTCCATCTTTGTCAAACTTGAACAGCCGTTTCCCAACAGAGGTGGGACATAATCTATTTCCAGTCTACGACACAGTC